CTTTCAGGAATTAAGACATGTAAGATTACCGCCACGCATTCACAGAACATCCCCTTCCTCTCCTTTCACCCTTTCTCGCACATCCGAAGAAAGAAACCATTTTGGAATTGCTAACTCGGATATCAAATTGCTACAATTTTTTCATTTTTATTTTCGGATCGTCTCGACGGTCAATTAGAAATAATATGCCTTCTGAGAAAAATTATTGGTTCAAAACAGGTTCATGAATTGTGCCCACAGCAGCATGGAAATGATACTGAAAAGAAAATCTCCCGCATAAAAGCTGGTTCATCTAGTAGTCTATCCCATGCAAAAAAGCCATAATTATTAAGGTTATTGATACCAAAGTACTTTTTTTTCATTTATGTTAATAGAGAGACAAGCTATAAATTTAATGTTAACAAAAAGGCTAAATTACATGGCTTGGCGTGTTTCCGTTTTAAACACTGAAATTTTCATTGAAAAGAGTATTCAAATACATACATTCATACCAGTTTACAACTCAACTCGTCAATTTTAAGGCATTCACTATTGGTAGCACCTATCGGAGTAATCGTTTTTTGAAATAACTCCGTTTGCTCTTTTCTTCTCTACCTTCATATAGTCTGAATAAATAAGGAATAAATAAAAGAAATATTCATAACTTTAAAAAATAAAAAAAAAAAGAAATATTCACAACTAAAAAAAAAAAAATCACTCTAAAAAATTAACTCCATAATGATTAGAAACTTTTTAATGACGATTTATTTTATGTATATGATATAAAAATAAATACGCACACCAACTGCATTGAATTAAATTTACAAGCAATAGGAATAATGTTGTTGTCGTAGACCAGTGTTTCCCAAAGTGTGGTACGCGTACCCCCAAGAGAACGGGAACATATTTTATAGGGGATACGCGTTCTTATGCGAAATATCTTGCAACAAACGAAAATTTCAAAAAAAAAAATTTTTTTAAACAAAGCTAGCCACGAAAATTTACGATTACGTATTTTTCTATTGGCTATTTTTTGCAGAGTTAACAGTTAATAATTAGTGGTGTCAACAGCTAGTTGTGTTTTCTAACTTTTGTGCAATTTTTGTAAAGTAAAAAATACATTCACTTTTTTATTAGTGGTACACAGCGTTAGGAAAAATTTAGAAAGGGTACACGAAAGTCATAAGTTCGGGAAACACTGTCGTAGACCATAAAGGCAAGGGGTGCGATTGTTCTTATTTTCCAGTGGCGCCATCTATGGCCAAGAATTAGACTTCAGCCACACCCATACGTCACACCTGTTTATCGGCCGGACCCATTCATACATAGGTGGATTGTAATTTTAACCTGAACCCAGAGAACGAGCAAACTCCAATTCGGTACCCTCAGAGCTATAATTTGTTATGGAACATAGAGGACTTTGAGACTCCGCAGATTTAACGTGCACCAGTCATACAGGAATAATTAATTACAACAATAAAATCTAGCTATCTGGTCCCCAGCTTAATCACTAAACTGCAATATTATTGTTTCTTTCTCTTAGACACTTTCAACTTGTTATACGTTTTAATTTCGATGAAAAAGCATTTATTATCATAATTGGGTGTTCTTAAACATACACAATTTCAAGTTTTTACTTAAAACAGGTGAAAAAACGTCCCCATCCCTGAGAAATAATTTTTGTCGAGTTTTCACTATACGAGGTAATTATTATTATTATTATTTGCTTCTTAAAGAGTTCTAAGCGTAAATAAATTTGGGAACCAAAAATACCAGATTAGTATCAGCAAAATTAAGATATATTAGTGAAAAACCAGAGAAATGTGGAGTTATAAGTAAATAATATCGTTGCAACCGAACTCGTCGCCTTTACCTAACTCTCAATTTGATGAATGCACAGCCGTTGGAGGAGAATTTTAGTAGATTTGTTTTCAACTAACTATGCCTTTTAATAACAGATTTTTGAAATACGATGAAATAAGTAAACCAAAAAAGGACTCCAAACATACTCAGAAAAACGAAGAAGAAAATAAATACATAACTAGCATTTCACAGATATTAGAAAAATTTTATGAACCTATCGAAAAAAACGAAGACGGCCGTTTAGTTACGCTAAAAGCTTCCACGGAGCAAGGTACAGACACTGACTTAATGAATTTAAAAGACTTACTTCATCGAGAATTGGAGGGCTTTAAATACAATGAACCTGGGTTAGAATCGCGTATATGGGAGGTATATAGTGATTTGTTTGATGAGCTGATCCGCCAGGAAATAATATCCAGTCCGGAACGAGGGCTTCTTTGGTTAAAGATTAAAAACGAAATCCAAATCACTCTAAAATCAATCGATAAATGTAATAAAAGTTGCTTCGCCTATGGATTGAACAAACATCTCGGGTACAACAAAAGGATTGATTCTATAAAATCTGAAATACCAGAATTGGAAAAATTGGCGCGTCTAACTGAAGATAACGCCAACATTATGATGCAAGAATGGAAGAAGAGGAAAGAAGAGAGCGAAAACCAAGAACAAATAAAAAATATACAAAGAAATTTCTTCCAAGATCAGCTTACAAGAGCCAATGAAGAAATTAAACAGCAATTAATACAGCGATATGACCCCGAACACATATGGCTAAAAGACATAGATTCTTAAGTCAGTGATGTGTATATAATCCCAGTTTATAACATATAGTGTGCTATGAACATGGGCTACAAAAACTATTATATAATTAACGACTTGCAAGAATTTAAAGAAGGCTAAAATCGAGAATAATAAGTAAACTTATTTAGCAATTGCAAGCAAGTAAGCAAACAGCAACAATCAACATATTAATATTAGTTGATGAACTTGATTTCGCAATGCTTGCTTAAAATCACTGTTTCTTACATTTCTAAAAATGTCTAGTAAATTGTAAAAAATAACTAAATTGGCTAAAAAAACGTCAGAAATAACTTCTAAAGTTATTTATACAAACATGATTGTTAGAAATTTAGTTGTAAATTTTTATTACAAAAAATTGTTTTGTAATAGTTATAGCACTATTATGGTCAGCAGAACTTAAAGTTTTTATTAAGTTTTAAATTAAATTATAATATAAGAGAATGAGAATACAGAACTTTTACAGAAACTGTTATTAAAAACAAAATATTTTACAATATAGGAATACCTATATGCAATTTTATGCTTTATTATTAGGATCTTTTTGTAATTACAAATGAGGATTGAAAGAATAAATAAACATACATTAGTTCATACATAAAATAAAGCTTTAATTCATAGACTTTTTTTACCCCTATTCAAAATATCATACTCCTCAAACTTATAAACAATTAAAAAAAAGGGCTAAATAATAATTTATTATTCAGTCGTCACTTATTTTTTGCGAAATAATTTATTTTAATTATGAACCTCTTACGAACTCTCTAGTAAATAGAGGACTTTCGCTTTTTATATAAAACTTAATAAGATTGTATAAAAAAATTTATTATTACAAATGTCATGCAAATGCAAAAATAAAATTAAGTTTATTTTTAGCCAATAACTATGTCTGCAAACAATTTTTGAATTACATTGCATATTAAAACATGGATTTTTCAGAGCTAGTAGATTAATTGCACTTTATGTAATCAGTATCATTAAAATTTGATTGGCTTGCAAAGTGATCAGAAAAAGAAATCTTCATATAAGCAATGAGCTTTCTCATGCTAAATACTTAATATCTATTAAAATAATTTGAGGTTAATATACAACTGCATGATGAAAAATTATAAGTTCGGATGTTAATTAGCATGTGGTGTAAATACAAGTCTTAGTGATCTATGGCATGCTTTCAGAAATTTGTTTTGCAAATTGAGAAATTGGATCATAAAAAAATAACAGATAAAAAATACAAAAAAATATCACTAGGAATCAGACAATTTAAGTTCTTTTTCTTAAGTTATTATATACTAATGCATATATAAAAAATATTATAGTATGGCAAAAGTGTTAAGATTACCAATGCAGAAGCATGCTTTTAATATAATTTTTGGTACTAAAAACCTTATTAGAATAGAAATAAAGTTTATTAAAGAACTAGAAAACTTTAAAAAACACAAGTTTTACCCTCCTTCTAGGTTCTTCTGTAAGAAGAAACACTTATTTAATATTATAAATAAAAAAAAAGGAATAAATAAAAAAAAAAAAACAGGTGCAAAGAGCTTAAAATGAAAAGTTTTAATTACTATTTATTGAAATGTTAGGATCTAAATAATAATGCTATGATTCTTTAAATAATTACATGTGTTTAAATGCAGATAAGGGGAGAAAAACTACAAACACAAAACAAATTAAAAAATACTAGGAGTTGTTTACATATTTTTTATTTTTATTTTCGTCCATATTTATAGAGATGTTTTAGTAATTTAACAATAGTTTTAAGTAATATTCAACTAGAATAATACGTACAAATATGTATGAATTAATACACATAAGGAAAAACAAATTACCAACAAAAACCAAACCAGAAATCTCAGGTTTCATATACTTTTTTTTTCAGTTCACGCTTATGGGAATTAAGAATTTTTATCACATCATACTAACAAAAGTTTTAAATAAAGTATAATAAGAATAAAATTCAAGAAATTAAAAGTTCAAGTCTATTCGCTCTGAATGAAATTCACTATTCAATAATCTTACATTAATTAATTAAACTATCATCAAAACTCACACATAGCAACAATAAACAACTATAACTTTATATCTAAAATCTTCCTATTTTTAAAAACTCAACTGTCAATTCGGAGTAGTTGAAATGAATTTATAGACGAATCAATTTTTTAAAAAAAAAATTTTTTTGTATTTAGAAATGTATACAAAAAGTTAATAAAGTTGTGAAGAATTTAAGTTCAAAAATTATATAAGGATTTTATTAACTCCTCATTATTAAAGTTAAAATGATCACACATTTTTGGCTATAAATAAAATAAATATTTTAATTCCATAAGAAACGTACGTTACTATCAAAACAATGTACTTACCGAAAAATTCTTCCCATTTAAAATCATCGTCTGATTCAGGTTTAGTAACTGAATCGGACGATGTTTGGCACATTTCAACTTCTCTTGTTGACTTCTTTTCCATATAATTGAAAACCATCAATATATTCCATGTGTTTCCACTAGTTTCTAAATTGATACAAAACCTCTAATGCATCGTTCGTATATTAAAAGAACGAATTTTCAGTTAACCGCTGATTGTTCGATAGCAGTATTTCACCGGAAAGAACATGAGCGTAAGATTATCTTCACCGGAAATCGCAAAAACTGGATAAATATTAGGTGACACTGAGCTAATTTCGATCAAATATAGGACATATAACAAATTAATATCACTTAATAAGATCACATCACGATATGTTGTGCAATGAAAATTCTAGTCTCTTTGTTTACAAATTGTTTATAAAGTTACAGAACATTGTAAATTGAAATCGTGTTATAGTAGTTAATTAATATTTTCTACATTTATATACAAATAATAATAAAAAAAATGTTATCTGCAGAGTAAAATATCACAAAAATTATACGCACATTAACTCGTATTTTCCGATCGTCGGGCGTTGGAAATATTTGAAGATATATAATATAACATATCACAGAATGAACAAATTTTTTATACACTGTACGGTCTTACTAAATGTTTTGCATAATCCATATAATAGCTGAGTTGCAAACTCGAACAGAAAAAAAACACACAACTTTCTAAAACACACACCCCAACAACCGACATTTAAATCTCTTTATCGCTGTGTCTCATTCTAACGTCAAAAAACAGACGACTTTACAAACTGTGCGAAATCGGGGTTACACGAAACAAACAAAACGCTTCGCCAAATAAGTCGCCAATCCATTGACGACCTTGCATAAAAAAATCATAACTCAGTGAAAAAGTTTAATTTTGGTTAATTTAAACCATGAAAATAAATTTTTTAAATACAGGAGGTGTTTTATTTTCTTTGTGCCAATATTATATAGCAAAATAATCTAAAGTTCTATACGTTAAAGTTTAAAAATTCCACTTTATGTTATTAAATGGAACTTATAGGTTGCCAATTGAGTGCTAACAGCTGAATTGTGGAATATTTCATAAAGTAAGCAAGTTTTATTGGGAATAGTCCAATGCTTGAATCATTCAAAGGGGAGGGAAGAGGGTAAAGATCGAGTTGTTTCTAAACAAAGCGAGGGCGGGTAAAATGACATGGGAAATTCAAGGTTGCCTCTTATAACCTAATACGTTATAAAAAAAAATAATCTTATAATCAACTCATAATTACAGATCGTTTTAAAATAAGAGTGCAAAAATTTATTTGAATTATTTCTAATATTTTTTTCAGTTTTTATATTTTCAGTAAAAATTCTTATTTTATAATATTTATTGATATTTCTATTATAAATTGCTTAATTTTAAAAAATTTATTAATAAACGTTAATATCTAAAATTTTTAAAACTTCATTTGAAAAAAAAAAACAAGAATATAGTCAAAAAACTAAAATACTATAGTTGTAATTGTTGTTCCATAATAACTACGATATCAGGAAAATTCGGTTGGACACTAATAAAAAGATTATTGATCACGCCAAATAAAAATTTAACTCTGGGTAAGAAAACTTATCCTTTTCCTGTAACCGAAGACGTTTTTTCGTGTGAACGGGTGAAATTATTCGTTATTTTAGATACACTGTCGTTTTATATTAATATTTCTTTTTGTTGTCCAGATGTTCTTTATATCTATTGTACTATCAAACATAAAAATAAAGTCTTCCTGCGAATAGTATTAAACCAAATTCCGATGGAGGTTATAAAAATAAATTTTTCAAAAAATTTCTGAACTGATAAACGTTTTCTTTATTTCCGATATCTTTATAATAAAATCGTAGACAGTTAAAAACATTTTCCAAGACTATATCTTAGAATTGTTTATAACTGATAAACATTTTCTTTAAAACCTTTTAAATCTAATACACCAGCTGCGCTTGCAACTCGAGAAGAATACCGATGAAATCACATGGTTTTACCCAATCACGTAGTTGTGCATGTCTTGTAAATGTTATTAGGCTTGGTTTATTATCACGCTTGATCAGTTTTCAACTCAGTTTCAATTGGATACCTGCTAGCGAAGTCTCGCGAGTATGTGTGTCGAACTTGCTTGGCCTCTGAATTGTGGCCTAAACAAATGCCGCGATTTACCCACGCGTGGTGTCGCTTGCAGGTAAACAAATAATCATTTTGTTTTAAATTTTTTAAAAAGTTAAAGATAGAAAATAAATTAAGTTAAATTAAAATTTTTAAAAATATAATCAAAATATCATAATAAAGGAATTATTAAAATTAAAAAAATCACGAAATTTTGAGTTACAGTAATGTTAATTAGCATGTGGTGTAAATACAAGTCTTAGTGATCTATGGCATGCTTTCAGAAATTTGTTTTGCAAATTGAGAAATTGGATCATAAAAAAATAACAGATAAAAAATACAAAAAAATATCACTAGGAATCAGACAATTTAAGTTCTTTTTCTTAAGTTATTATATACTAATGCATATATAAAAAATATTATAGTATGGCAAAAGTGTTAAGATTACCAATGCAGAAGCATGCTTTTAATATAATTTTTGGTACTAAAAACCTTATTAGAATAGAAATAAAGTTTATTAAAGAACTAGAAAACTTTAAAAAACACAAGTTTTACCCTCCTTCTAGGTTCTTCTGTAAGAAGAAACACTTATTTAATATTATAAATAAAAAAAAAGGAATAAATAAAAAAAAACAGGTGCAAAGAGCTTAAGATGAAAAGTTTTAATTACTATTTATTGAAATGTTAGGATCTAAATAATTATGCTATGATTCTTTAAATAATTACATGTGTTTAAATGCAGATAAGGGGAGAAAAACTACAAACACAAAACAAATAAAAAAATACTAGGAGTTGTTTACATATTTTTTATTTTTATTTTCGTCCATATTTATAGAGATGTTTTAGTAATTTAACAATAGTTTTAAGTAATATTCAACTAGAATAATACGTACAAATATGTATGAATTAATACACATAAAGAAAAACAAATTACCAACAAAAACCAAACCAGAAATCTCAGGTTTCATATACTTTTTTTTTCAGTTCACGCTTATGGGAATTAAGAATTTTTATCACATCATACTAACAAAAGTTTTAAATAAAGTATAATAAGAATAAAATTCAAGAAATTAAAAGTTCAAGTCTATTCGCTCTGAATGAAATTCACTATTCAATAATCTTACATTAATTAATTAAACTATCATCAAAACTCACACATAGCAACAATAAACAACTATAACTTTATATCTAAAATCTTCCTATTTTTAAAAACTCAACTGTCAATTCGGAGTAGTTGAAATGAATTTATAGACGAATCAATTTTTTAAAAAAAAAATTTTTTTGTATTTAGAAATGTATACAAAAAGTTAATAAAGTTGTGAAGAATTTAAGTTCAAAAATTATATAAGGATTTTATTAACTCCTCATTATTAAAGTTAAAATGATCACACATTTTTGGCTATAAATAAAATAAATATTTTAATTCCATAAGAAACGTACGTTACTATCAAAACAATGTACTTACCGAAAAATTCTTCCCATTTAAAATCATCGTCTGATTCAGGTTTAGTAACTGAATCGGACGATGTTTGGCACATTTCAACTTCTCTTGTTGACTTCTTTTCCATATAATTGAAAACCATCAATATATTCCATGTGTTTCCACTAGTTTCTAAATTGATACAAAACCTCTAATGCATCGTTCGTATATTAAAAGAACGAATTTTCAGTTAACCGCTGATTGTTCGATAGCAGTATTTCACCGGAAAGAACATGAGCGTAAGATTATCTTCACCGGAAATCGCAAAAACTGGATAAATATTAGGTGACACTGAGCTAATTTCGATCAAATATAGGACATATAACAAATTAATATCACTTAATAAGATCACATCACGATATGTTGTGCAATGAAAATTCTAGTCTCTTTGTTTACAAATTGTTTATAAAGTTACAGAACATCGTAAATTGAAATCGTGTTATAGTAGTTAATTAATATTTTCTATATTTATATACAAAT